GGTTTATAAGGCGTGAGGACCAGAAACTAGAAGCATTTGGCTGGTTAAGCACTTAGCTGGTTAGGCATTTGGCTGGTTAAGCATTTGGCTGGTTAAGCACTTAGCTGGTTAGGCATTTGGCTGGTTAAGCATTTGGCTGGTTAAGCACTTAGCTGGTTAGGCATTTGGCTGGTTAAGCATTTGGCTGGTTAAGCATTCAGGCTTTTGAGCAGCAATTCAGCTGAGACCCATTCTGGATGAGGACTCAGAGGCCTCCAGTCTGAGGAAACAAGACCAGCTGAGGATCTGGTGAGGTGAGGTTAGCTGTGGCTCGTTCTGTCTCTCTGATCTTCCAGTATTCACCCCAATAACTGGCCTCGGGTTTGATCCTATTAATAAAAACTTTTAAGATTCATGCTACATCTGGCGCCCAACGTTTGTGCTATGCATTCTGGAAAAAGCTACTTGGCTAGGGCCTTGCGGACCCCAGCTCAGACCCGCGTTGCCGGTTGTGGTGGTGCACGCCGGTAGGATTTACTGAAGGAGGTAGAGGCAGGAGGATCCCGAATTTGAGGCCAGCCTTGGAGGCTTGCTAAGGAAAAGCTTCAGCCCGAACCTAGCCACAAACAGTGGTGGGACCATGGAGGCAGCGGCTGCTGCTCCACGTTGCTGGCTCCTCATCATGTTGGTGACTGCGTTGATGCTGCTACCTGGGATAAAGGGTTTACTACTACTTGTTCAGAGAAGAATTGCCTGGACCATCGTGTTACAAGAAAGCATCGGCAAAGGTCAGTTTGGAAAAGTTTGGCAAGACAAATGGTGGGGAGAAATTGTTGTGAAGATTTTCTGTTCTAGGGAAGAACGTTCATGGTTCCAAGAGACAGACATTTATCAGACTATGATTGCTCCAAACCACAGAGGAGGCACACAAAAAAAAAAAGTCTTCAGGGAACCATGACCACGCCTAACAGTGACTTTGAAATCTTCAAAAGGATGACAGGATCCCACAATGATGATTCCACATGGACTATGGTAAAGCCATTACGCTGGTTAACACTGTGGAAAGACTGCTCAGGACAATTTCGAGATGACTAGCTGAGATGATCCAACCTGACAGACTACTCGAACAAGAACTTGTGACAAATGATACAGGACTTGACAATTAACCTAAATTTTTTCTTACAAGACACCACCAAAGCTGGCCTGAACCTGGCACCAAGGTTCATGCCTATAATCCCAATACTGGGAGGCTGAGGCAGGAAGATCTGCAGTTCAAGGACAGCACTGTCCAGCCTGGGATACATGAGGCCCTGTCTCAAAAAAAAAAAAAAAACAAAACAAAAAAAAAAACACCAGAAGCCAGATATTGGGATGAAAGCTGAAAGATCAGAGAAACAGAACAAGCCAGCCACGTTCTTACCTCTAAGAAATCCTCAGCCTCAAGAGCATGAGTTCCTGTTTCCTCAAGCCTTATATACATTTCTGTGTCCTGCCATACTACTTTCTGGGATTAAAGGTGTATGTCCTTCCCAAGCAAAGTCATGAGATCTCAAGTGCTGGGATTAAAGGTGTGTGCCACCACTTGCTGTGGGATGTTCTGTATGGCAAATGTGTTGCTGATTTGTCAATAAATAAAACACTGATTGGCCATTGGCTAGGCAGGAAGTGTAGGCGGGACAAGGAGGAGAATAAAGCTGGGAAGTGGAAGGCTGAGTCAGAGAGACACTGCCAGCTACCACGATGACAAACAGCATGTGAAGATGCCGGTAAACCATGAGCCATGTGGCAAGGTATAGATTAATGGAAATGGATTAATTTAAGCTGTAAGAACAGTTAGCAAGAAGCCTGCTACAGCCATACAGTTTGTAACCAATATAAGTCTCTGTGTTTACTTGGTTGGGTCTGAGCGCTGTGGGACTGGCGGGTGAGAGAGATTTGTCCTGACTGTGGGCCAGGCAGGAAAACTCTAGCAACAACCACTACCTGACCTCTATGTCTAATTTAGTGCGTGGCTTTGTCTTCTGATCCCCAGGTAAGCTTTATTGGGGTACACAATATATCACCACAAAAAATAGCAAATCAAATGCAAAAGCCCATATGGCCAAAGTGTAATGTGCACCACAACTCACAGGAGGCCAACGGTGTACTGTCCCAGGCTTTGTGAACTCCAGAACTGGTGATGTGGAAGACAAGGGTTGATTTAGACTTTCTTCTGCCATATTGGGTAAGATGAAAGCTTGTCAAGCCAGGCCTGAAGAAACAGACACTGGCACTTTTGATTGGAGGAGAGGAATCCATTTGGAACTGGGCTGAGTCTCGTTTTTCACTTGAGCAAGTGCCCCAGTGTTCGTGGGGGACACACCTAAATAAGCAAGCCACTGTTTTCATAGCATGGATTACTTTCAGTTTTCAAATACTGTATTCTCAATGTGTGTTTAAATATCTGGTTGTGAGTGTTATAGAAAGGAAACTGTTTACAATGTATTCTGCAGCATCTCACTTCTTGTACTGAACGTAATGTTTTGAGATCATTTATGTTGTTGTCTAATGCATGAATGGGTTCTTGTTTGATGTTAAATAGTATCCCATTGCATTAATACATTCTAATGTTTCTATTGTACTACTAATTAGCACCTAATTTTCCAGACTGCTAAAATTTATGCTCGTGACCATCTTGTTATGATAAAACACCATAACCAAGGTGACCCACAGAAGAAAGAGTTTACTTTGGCTGTTGGTTCTAGAGGATTAGAGAGCGTAACAGCAGGAAGAAGGCAGACAGCAGGTAGCTGGAGCAGAAAGCTGACTGCTCACATCTTGAGCAGAAAGCATGAAGCAGAGCAAATGACAAGTAAGTGAGGCTTTTACTCTCAAAGGCCACCTCCAGCGACAATCTTCCTCCAGCAAGGCTGCACTCCTAAACCTTCCCAGTCAGTGCCACCAACTGAGGACCAAGTGATGAAATATCAAAGGCTATGGAGGACATTTATCATTTAATCCACCACACCCAGGCTGGCCTTGAACTCATGATCCTCCTGGCTTAGCCTTCCCAGTGCTGTTAACATAGGCATGAGTCACCATGCCCTGCATTAAGAGCTTTTTAATAATGATTTTGCAAATGGTTTTCTGTGGCTGTTTGCAGATCTCAGACACAGAGAGTGAGGGTCACAGACTCGTGGATTACAATCCAGTGCCCCTCAGCTGTCTGGGCTTCTTTCCACAGATCACTTCTCTTAAATGTCACATCAGCATCTCTGTCCCCTTTACAGAGTGAAGAAACTGGACAAGGCATTTGTAAGAGTCACAGTGTTTGTAAAGTCCATACGGTGTGACACTAACTGTCACTGGGGGGTGTAGCTAGAGTTTTCCTGCCTGGCCCACAGTCAGGACAAATCTCTCTCACCCGCCAGTCCCACAGTTGCTCAAACCCAACCAAATAAACACAGAGACTTATATTGGTTACAAACTGTATGGCCGTGGTAGGCTTCTTGCTAACTGTTCTTACAGCTTAAATTAATCCATTTCTATTAATCTATACCTTGCCACGTGGCTTGTGGCTTACCGGTACTTTACATCTTCCTTGTCCTGATGGCGGCTGGCAGTGTCTCTCTTACTCAGCCTTCCACTTCCAAGCTCTATTCTCCTCCTTGTCCCGCCTATACTTCCTGCCTGGCCATGGGCCAATCAGTGATTTATTTATTGACCAATCAGCAACACATTTGACATACAGACCATCCCACAGCACTTCCCCTTTTCTTTTCTTAAAAAGGAAGGTTTTAACCTTTACACATCTCCAAAGTCAGCTTGATATATTTGGGAATTTGGGCATAGCTTTTCTTACTATTTCCTGCTGGAGGGGGGCTCTGTATCTTATGGGGACACAAAGAATACTTTAGGATTATGGAGTAGTCCATGAGGGTGTATCGTCTGAGCCAGTTGCCTTGAAATGGTTCTGGATGTTGGATCATCTGGGCCATGGTGTCATCGGAGACCTTTCAGGTGGTCTTGGCTGGTCAAACCTGATGTATCTTAATCTGGAACAAATCCATAGCCTCTGGCTTTCTGTGGAAACAAAAGCAGAGCCTCCTTTCCAAAGCAACATATCTTTACATCCAAATTTTGAAGTCAAGGTACCTTTAAAATATACATTTTGGCATAACTCAACAGCTTTTGTAATCAAATGTTTTTTTTCAGTTACGAATATCAAAGAGAACATAATCCAGATTCTCTGTGTGGTAGCCATCTTTACATGGCTTATTTTTTTATATTAGCTTGAGCCTATTGCTTTGAATTGCAGCCTTCTAAGCCTGAAATGGCACTGGCGCTGTGGCTGCTGGCTCTGCCCACTTCAGCTTTCCAACATGGCGGTGATACGTTTTCCGCCAGCTCTGGGAGCCATCAACTCTCAGAAATAGTGGGTCTATGCTTCTATCAAAGCAGCGTGTAGCCCAGAAACCTCTTTTTTTGTTTTGTTTTGTTTTGTACTAGCAAAGGCTAAATCCACCACACAGCTTAATGTGCCACTTGCAGAGGCCTCATTCCCGCCATACTGCAGGTCGAGCATGCACGCACGCTAGGAACCTGCCATTAGCTCAAACCGGCAGCTGCCGTTCATTTGAGAGAGACAATTAGGAAGCTGTTTTTAGCTCCGTTTTAGAATCTTTTTTTCTCAGTTTTTAGGTGGAAACTCTTGCCCCACGTTGGGTGCCATTTGTAGCTAGAGTTTTCCTGCCTGGCCCACAGTCAGGACAAATCTCTCTCACTCGCCAGTCCCACAGCCGCTCAAACCCAACCAAATAAACACAGAGACTTATATTGGTTACAAACTGTATGGCCGTGGCAGGCTTCTTGCTAACTGTTCTTACAGCTTAAATTAATCCATTTCTATTAATCTATACCTTGCCACATGGCTTGTGGCTTACCGGTACTTTACATCTTCCTTGTCCTGATGGCGACTGGCAGTGTCTCTCTTACTCAGCCTTCCACTTCCCAGCTCTATTCTCCTCCTTGTCCCGCCTATACTTCCTGCCTGGCCATGGGCCAATCAGTGATTTATTTATTGACCAATCAGCAAAACATTTGACATACAGACCATCCACAGCAGGGGGGCACGGATGTCAGCAGCCTAGACAGATTGGGTGCAGGGATCCGGTGTGGATGGTAAAGTCATGGAGATGGGATTCACAGTCAGGGGTCATCACACGTGGTTTCAGACACGTTTTAGTTCCTTTTGGCAGATCCACTTGTTGTCTGAAACACAGCTTTCAGAAACCACAGTGTCCTTTGCGAGGGAGGCACAGCTGTCTTTTGTAGCTTCACCAATGACTTGCAATCTGAGGAGGAAGAGAATAGCCACTGTTAGTGTTTAGGATTTTCTCATGATGATCCTGTCAGCCATTGCTTTCCTTTGGACTTTAAAGGAAACAGTAGAAAGTACAGTTATTAAGTATAGTAAACACAGACACGATGCTATAAACATAGAAGGTGGAGCTGATTCTAAAACCTGCTGTTTCTTCACTGGCAGAGAACCCTTCCAGCAAGAATCTTCATAATGGCGCATGAAACGGAGACGGTTTGAAAGAGATGGTGACCTCCTCATTGCGCCACTAACACATCATGTGAAGACCTTCATTTCTTTTTAGCTTCAGTTTTCTTTCATTTACAGGCTTAGGGGCTGGAGAGATGGCTCATTGGTTAAATCACTGGCTGCTCTTGTGAAGGACCTTGGTTCAGTTCCCAGCACCCACACGTTGGCTCACAGTATCTGTAACTCCAGTACCAAGGGATCTGATACCCTCTTCTGGCTTCCATGGATACCAGACATTCATGTGGTACACATACAACATGCAGGCAAACACTCCTATACATAAACCAAAAATGAATAAATCTCTAAAAATAGATTAAGAGCAGAAAAGCATAAAGTTATATGAAAGTTTATACACACACACACACACACACACACACACACACATGTATGTGGTTTAAAGAGCTAATGTTTGGGGAAGTATTAAGACAGACGTGAATGTGTGATAACAGTTACACACAGCAGGTATTCAATGAATGTATTCAACATACAGAGTGAGCTCACAGAGTCTGGATCACAGAACTGGATGCAGAGAGGGAAAGAGGCTCAGCTCATGTGATGCAGAGTCACAATTCCTTTCATTCTCCTTCCTTAGACTGAAGTGTTTGATTAACACATGGGTTTCAAACCTCCATGTTTTTCATGGCTCCCATGGCTCCCTGCTGGTGGGAACTAGAATTCAAGCACTAACATAGACGGTATCAGGGTTGGTTGTAAGGGACAGATGAGTTCTAAGTGTACTGGTGGGTCTTACAAAGAAGGTGACATATGCCAGTGGCAGGGCTCCTCAAGGGTGTCCTTCTTTGTTTTGTTCTTTGTGGAGCCCCTTGGGACTGAGAGGCAAATCTGATGCCACCCTAGTGGTCAGCATGCTGGTGCAACCATGATTTCCCTCTTTTATATCCTCCATGCTCAGGATCTTCCTTCAGCTTTCAGGATCATTTCCTCAGGGCTGATCTGTTTCAGTCAATGACTTCCTTTCAAAATTCCTTTAAGGCTTCCCAGGTCTTCTCCTACTAGATACCTGGAAAATTCTCTAACATTCCTTATTAATTCCCCAAATAATCCTGTGGGGGAAACTGTTACTCTCTCCCTTTCCGGTACCTGAATCCAGGGACAGAGTTGAAACAAAAGCAGGACTTGCTTGACTGACACTTTCGACTGAGCACAGCAGCATCCAGGCTTACCAATCGCTCTTCCCTAATCCCAGTGTCAATTTGTCCTCAGAGGAAACTGACAGATCAGCTGAGCTTAATCCGTACACTTCACATATACTTCTCTACTGAACACCAACTTCTTATGTTTAACTATTTCTATACTTAATAAATTGTCATTACATTTTAAGTAAACCTAGATATGTTTCAGCATTTTACATTTCAATGTCATGTGTTCTGAATAACAAGTACATTTTCTTGTAAGATTTGCCTAAGTTTATTCAAGCAAGATGAATAAAACGATTCTCATTATAACTCCTGAAAACCTCATTGAAAGCACTGTACAGAAATTTGGCTGAATCCTACATACTTTTACTTATGAAAAGAATGAAGAGTCTGTTCCTGCTATACAAAAAAATCAGGAATTGCACTAAAATATATAACTTAACTCCAAAGTGTCAGCTCTTTTGTAGCACTGTAATACGAATTGCTAAACGGTCTTATTAATAAAAATCCCAGAGCCAGATTGGGGTGAAAACTGAAAGATCAGAGGAATAGAACAAGCCATAGCCAACCACACCTCAAACTTCTCAGCCTCCAGAGCTACTTTCTGTATACTGATGCCTATATATTTTTCTGTGCCCCGCCATTTTACTTCCTCACTCCACCCAGCTACAGTACCTCCTCTTTCTGCCCAGCTCTATCACTTCCTGTCTGTTTGTACAGACCTCCGGACCTCTATGGTTAAATTGTGGTGGGATTAAAGGCATGTGCCACCACACCTAGCTCTGTTCCCAGTGTGGTCTTGAACTCACAGAGATCCAGATGAATCTCTGCCTTCATAATGCTAGGATTAAAGCCATGTGCTACCACTGCCTGACCTCTATGTTTAACGTAGTGGCTGGCTTTTTCCTCTGAACTCCAGGCAAGCTTTATTTGTTAAAACACAAATAAAATATCACCACAGTAGCACAGTTACCATGACAATCTCACACAATAAGAAAATGACAAGACACCAAGGAGCTAATGGCATTCTTTATGACCTGTACACACAATTATAATTTTGATAGCAAATACCCCAGGAGGTCATGTGTGGGATAGCTGTGACACTGTGAAGAGGTGACTGGGTCATGGGTGCACTGATGCCATCAAGGAATTTACCCATTGCTGAGTTCTCAGCCAAGCAAAATGAGGCCTCCTGGAAAGATATAGGTCATGGTGCAGGGCACAGCCTTTGAAAGGCAGATCTCTGCTCCCCATCCCAGCCCAGGGGAGGCCATCTCCTCTGCTTCCTGCCCACTATGAGGTGAGCAGCTTTCCTGTGCCCTTATACAACCACATTTCTGCATTGCCACAGGACTAGCATCAACAGAGCAGGCTGAAGATGGACAGGAGGCCCCTTCAACTGTGAGCCAAAATGATTTCACTTTCCTGTTTATCTGTGATATTTTGTTACAACAGCAAAAGCTGACTAAGGTCTGTTTCACCACAGCTCCTCAGATAATTGTACCTTTCACAACTCTAGCTACACTACAATGTAACCTGTGAAAATGTGATCATTTCTCTCAGCTGATCAAGCTCCCTGCTGACACTTGGTGCTTTTCATTCACACTCATTCTTCCTCTGCTGGTTGTGACCTGAGAAACTGGCCTCATGACACACTGTGGCTCATTTTCACCACAGTGTGGAAAGTACCATTTAGAAATTCTTTGGCCATCACTGGTGCATGGGCAGGCTTTTGGGAATCTGGTGCCTATGGAGTGACGCCTTGCGCAGCCTTGGTGCAGTGGGAAAGGGCTTGGACCTGCCTAGGCTCAGTGTGCCAGGCTCTGTTAACTCCCCATGAAAGACCTGATTTGGGGGATGTGGGGATGTGGGGTGGCTTGGGAGGGAAGGATGTGAGGTGGGAGGAGGGAAGAGGTTGGATCTGTGGGTGGTATGTAGAGTGAGTAGAAAATTTCTTAATAAAGAAAAAGGAAAAAAAAAAGAAATTCTTTGGAAAATATAAAAAGTTTAAGAGTGAAAAAGGAAAAGTTCTCTGTGCCTGCAGGCTCTCAGTAGATATTTAAAACTGCATTCTCTTTCCAAAGGGGAAGTCCTTTGAGGTCCACTGGAGACATATATACATAGTCCACTGTATACATACATACACACATACATGCACACACACGACCTTATAAAAGGCTGATGATACCTTTTCATACATGGAAAATAACAACTAACTTTGAAATCATACTTTTAAACTCTTCTGAACCTCTTTAATCTTTGGTATCAGTGTTAGAGCCCTGAAATGACCTGAAATGAATATTCAGGTTAGCTCCTCCAATACTCACACATCAGAACGTAAAGTAGAGCCGTTTATCCACCTCCATTTCTTGTCTGTCAATGTGTAATTTAGTCCAATCCAAAGTGAATCGACTTTTCCCTTTGCTGAGTCCTTTATGAATCTCTATAATAAAAACAGAGTAGAGGACTTAACCCTGAGTCTGTGTACTGGGGACTCATGTTCTCCCAGCCTCCTGAAACCTAGTTCAAGTGTCACCTGTGTCCAGCCTGAGTCCACAGCACAGTTAATTCTTGTTCCTTTGACAAACCTGTGTCTGGTATTTATGATTCTAGGACACTCACCTTGCATATGCAGTGATTAGATCACATGTCCAATTTGTCTCTCAGACCGTGATCTCCCATAGTGTAAAGTCTCCACTTCCTTTGCATGGAAGAGCCATTAAGTCTAGGACATTGGTGTAGCTTCAAGAACGTGCTGACATCTCTATTAAATACAACAACTTACCAGTTCTTCTTGGTCTTGAATGAGCAGCAAAGTGGCTCCATTTGAAGCACAGTCAACTAGACCTTCCATCCAAATGTTGGTATCTTGAGAAAAATATATGCATTTATCTCGGTGTGGCAGCCAGTCTTTTGGACACTTTAAGATAGCTGGACCGTCTGAAGTGAGGAGGAGACATGGAATATTTCTACCCTGTTCCTGCTGTACCACATCCAGTTACACACAGTAGTTGCTTTACTAACACACACTTTTAGTAACACATGCAGGGACAAAATTGCTGTTATGACATATTAAAGAAATAAAAATAACAAGAATTCATTTGTGTTTCTATCAATTAACTTTAGACAAAGTTAACTATTTGACACATTAGTTAAAACAAATATTCTATTAGAGTGTTTTTTTTGTTTGTTTTGTTTTTTTTTTTTTTGGTTTTTCGAGACAGGGTTTCTCTGTGTAGCTTTGCTCCTTTCCTGGAACTCACTTGGTAGCCCAGGCTGGCCTCGAACTCACAGAGATCCACCTGGCTCTGCCTACTGAGTGCTGGGATTAAAGGCGTGAGCCACCACCGCCCCGGCTAGAGTATTCTTAAAGTTAATGATCCAGTGTGCTAGCATATTGAGGCAGCATGGCCAAGTGGTTAAGATCTCAGGCTTCAAGATCACATAGCTTAAAAGAAGTTCCCAGCATTGTCAACTACCAGTCATGAGACCCTTAGCAAGACTTTATGCAGCAATTCCTTCTAACATAAGACCATGGGACTGTAGTGTCTTCATAAGTGAGTGTTTTAAACCTCGAATGATGAAAGCCCTGGTAAATAGCAAATGTCAACTGTTATTCTTGGGAAATTCAAGCTGAAAAATTACCTGTTGGTTTAGCTATGTTCTCTTGAATACACACTCTGCATTTTTCTATTGATGGTTTTTGTATCAACACTCGCACTAGTAAATAAGAAAACATGGAGAGGATTAAATCCTGAAATGAAAGGTGGAGTGGGTGTTCTCTTTCCCACCTCAGGAAATCAAGCTATTTCAACAAACCTGAAACATCTGGATAGGATAAAATATTAGCCAGCTGGACGGAGGAACCAGTTGGAGACAGATGTATAAACAAAGAAGAAAAGCACAGAACATGTGGATTCACACCACTGTTAAGGCACATACTATCTAATGTCCTTAGAGAAACCCTTAACTTACCCGCACTCATGCCTGAATTCCCATCTTCAGAATGAGAATTATCACATCCCCTCCAAGAAAGACAGCCTAATGCCATTGGAGTTTAGTAGCCAATTAATAAACTAAACACTTGAGCCTTTTGGCTTTCCGTGTTGTTGTTATTTTTTGTCTCAGTTATGACTTTATTTATCTATTTATTTATTTATTTATTTATTTATTTATTTATTTATTTATTTGGTTCTAGGTATATGTGCGTTGTTGGGGGCTTGGTGTCAGCTCAGAACACACACAGACACCAAATTCTCAACACAAAGGAGATTTATTACCCTGGAGGAAGGGGGGAGGGCTGCTTCGGTATCTGGCAAAGACAGCAGCAGGTACTTTTGCAGGAGTGGGTTTTAAGGAGAAAATGGGGAAGTCTGTGTTGGGATGAGATGATAAATCCTGGTTGGACAGGTTAGCCAGTGTAGCCAAATAATGAATTTTGATTTCTGGAACTTGATGTTTTGATAGTTGGACCTCAGTGCTCAGTTTCAGGAATGTTCCATGGCCAAAATGAGTGGACCTCAGGGGCTAGCTGAGGAATGTCATCTGACAGTTCAGTGAGAGGAAAGGGGAAAGGGAAAAGCCTGCAGGCGCCATATTTGCCCCTCATGGGCCTGTTAGAGAGCCCTTTGTGGGTAACACCTCCTAACAACTCTCAGAGAAATTCAGAAGCACAGAAATGTGAAGCTTCTGCACTGGACATGGGACACTGTCCTGTAACTACTCATGTCTTTGACCTTTCCCCAGGCTCAAGTGGACCAAACCATGCAAAGAGGCCCTGATATTTAGAGGGGAAATTCTGAAGCAAAAGTTCTTGCCTTGCCGGGCGGTGGTGGCGCACGCCTTTAATCCCAGCACTCGGGAGGCAGAGCCAGGCGGATTTCTGTGAGTTCGAGGCCAGCCTGGGCTACCAAGTGAGTTCTAGGAGAGGCGCAAAGTTACACAGAGAAACCCTGTCTCGAAAAACCAAAAAAAAAAAAAAAAAAAGTTCTTGCCTCACTTACCTAAAACACTGAGCCCAATCAGGGTCAAGACAAGAAGGATGAGCCCAGCACAAGTGAGTTTCAGAGCCAACCTATGGGAGCGTGGGCACCGACAGGCATCTGTGAAGTCAAACATCTGTTACTTGTTTAAGTCAGTTGAGGACATTGGGAATGAAAGGGAAAGGTGGTTTGGGAACAAATGAATTCAAGTAGAAGGTCAGCTGCAGATGTGAGCCCTTTTCTGCCAACTTAAAGCAGAATTCCATGAGATAAATTCTCCGTTAGGTTCAACTGTTTGCTTTGATAAAGTAGGACTGAAGAATAATGCTTATGCACATCCATGCATAAGCACAAAGGTGTACTGAGTAAATCAAGCTCGACAGATGTGAAGATGTGTTGAAAACCACGAATGCCGTCAAAACCAAATGGCATGTTCTGTTGCAGGAAGGGAGTCAAAGCATCTCTAAGGAGGACCTTCTTTTATTCAATAGATATTTTTGATGCTCCCTTTTTGTGGTAATTGTGACTTTTGGTGATAATGACATGTGAATCTATTCCTGCACACGGACCCCATACTTCACTGCTATCTACAATGATCTTCTCCAACTTGGGTCAAAGGTATAACATGCATGGAGGTGCATCTCCTGAGTCCCCAGGATATTTTCAGTATTTCAATTGTGTTATTCCCTCCTTATTGGCTGAGTTCTAAATCCTCCTAATGGATAGATGAACTGGAAATGTGGCTAATATCACACACTGTTACACATACACATACGCACACACACACACACACACACACACACACACACACACACGAACTAAACACATACTACACATTGTGGCTGTAAATTTCATGGTGTTCTTTCCTTAAATAGAATACTTTCATAATTGCTTTTTGTTGTGCTGTGTTCTGAGATCGGGTTGCCAATAGTCCAGGCTGACCTTTAACTCTCTGTGAACTGAGGATGACTTTGAGCTCCTGACTCTCCTGCCTCCACTTCTCAGGTGATGGGATTCTAGGTGTGCACCACCCACAACTGCTCAGCATTTACAGAATAAGAGACTACCTAGTACTCCATCCTAAATGGGACATCTGCATCCCATCCCATCCCCAACCAAAGCTCAGGCATCGCCACAGAAGAGGGGCAGAATGACTATAAATTAGAAGTTGTAGTTGCAAGTTTTCTTTGGTCCTGCCTGGCCACACAATCCTGCAGTCTCAGAGGATTAATATTATTTACAAACTGTATGACCTATCACAGGCCTTGTGCTAGCTAGCTCTTATATCTTAACTTAACCCATTTCTATCACTCTATGTCTTGCCACGTGTTCCATGGCTTTACCAGTCTGCTGACATCTTGCTGCTCCTTTCATGGCAGGGGAGTGTCTCCAGACCCTGTCTTTCTCTTTCTGGTCTCTCTCCTTTCCCACCTGCCTCTAAGCTGCCTTGCCATAGGCCAAAACAGCTTATTTATTAACCAATGGGAACAATACATATTCACAGCATACAGAAAGATATCCCACAGCAAGAAGTGGCAGATAACTACAAGGAAACACTGTCTTCTGGACATAACAGGACAGTTACACATATGATCTTACACCATTTGTGACAGCCTACACAAGACCTTCAAAAGCTCAAGTCAGACAAAAATTGTGAGGGGACTCGGACATGAGTCCCACCACCATCTGGGGAGCTATTGACAGCTGATGGCTGCTAGGAGTGGGAGAGTCAGTTTTCTTCAAGGATACAGTCCCTGAGAGGCCACCTATGCTCCCGGACATGCCCTACACCCATGTACACACTGGCCTCGCTGACTGGACTCAGTGGGAAGACAAACCCAAACCTTAAGCTGTCTAAGTCCCTTCTTCCACTTTTACAGGTATAAACAGGGAAAACAGAGACTTTCTTGTGCCTATCACAGATAACTGGCTCCGTCAAATCCTCCCTCTAGTTATCAAAAGACCCACTTTCCCCAGACCCTTTGCAAAGGTTATAATGAAGCTTATTTTGTGACTCTAAGACTTTTTCTGATTAAAAAAAAATCTGTTAATTTAAAAGGTTCTGACAAGCATCCTTAAAAAGTTGTGGTTCACATTTTATCTTTGCTTTTTGGTTTTTTGAGACAGGGTTTCTCTGTATAACAGCCCTGGCTGTCCAGGAACTCACTTTGTAGACCAGGCTTGTCTCAAACTCACAGAGATCAAACTGCCTCTGCCTCCCATGGTTCACATTCATTCTTGACACAATATAGAAAGATTAAATCTAAAGCATTGCAGTATTACAAAAGAAAGCTCAGTTACATCACAGAATCTCATACTATACCATGACCGTTTTAGACTTATTTTCTGTCTCCATGTCTATCTCTTTTCATCCATCCCTAAGTCATGGTACACTTAATTTGTGGCACATATCAGTCTTCCACATTTCTGTCACTGTGATTTTAAGTCTTCTGAGAGACAGAGTGCTAATTCCACCTGTGCTCAGTGCTAGGATGCTGTGGTGCTGAGGCTTAGTGTTTGTGTTTTGCAGAGAAGTTTGGACCAGGCAAGATGCTGCATAGCAAGTCTCTCTGCTAGAAGCATCCCTTTCCTTACAGATGTAAAGTAACCTTTTTTCAGGGTCTTGTGACTAAGGCTGAAAAGAATGGCTGCCCAAGTTTCACACTGACTGACTAAAAGTTGAATGTATGAGCCTTTAATCTCTAAAGTTGTGACCGTTTACCCTCTTCAGCACGGACAGCTGTTCATCTTCATAGCAATCACAAAACTGTAAGAAGAAATCATAACTCTGGAAGATATTCTAATGCCAAATGGAGAAATAAAGCCACTGACCTGGGGGAAGAGATGGCGGTGATGCACGCTGAAACCCTGGATTCCTGGATGCCTTTAAATTGAGGTAGACCCTTGATGTGTCCATTGTAAATGAGGGACGTGACACTGAACTTGTGGACAGGACAAACTCCAAGGTCTGTGAGGTGAAATGAGCAAAAAAAGGAAGTCTGCTGCGAACGCTGGGCTGTGTTTCCACACCCACCCACACTTGTCTCTGAGGGTTTCTCCGAAGTTACTGACCTTGATGTCTGTCCTGCTCACATAGCTTACACGCTATTGTCTTTTTTCTCTTTTATTCTTCTTTCATACAATACATCCTAACTGCAGTCTTTCCTCCCTTCTCTACTCCTAGTCCTCCCCTCCTCCCCTCTCCCCCAGACACACTACTCTTCCATTCCCTTCAGAAAAGAGCAGGCCTCTCAGGGATATCAGTGAACACAGGATAACAAAATGCAGTCAAACTAGGCACAGACCCTCATATCAAGGCTTGACAAGGTAACCCAGTAGGAGGAAAAGGGTCCCAGGAGCAGGCAAAAGAGTCTGAGACACCCCAACTCCCACTGTTAGGAGTCTAACAAAAACTCTAAGATAAACAACCACAGCATGTATGCAGATGGCCTACTGAAGACCCATGCAGGCTCCATGGTTGCTGCTTAAGTCTCTGTGAGCCCCTGTGAGCCCTGCTTAGTTGATTCTGTGGGTTGTGTTCTCCTGGTCTCCTCTACCCCTCTGGCTCCTGCAGTCCTTCCTCCCCATACTGTGGGGTTCCCAGAACTCCACCTAATGTTTGGCTGTGGATCTCTGTATCTGCTCCCATCACATACTATTATCTTAAGAAGTTGTAACATGTTGTCTCCTTTTCTTAATAAAACTCAAGAGAGGGCACTTCTTGTTCTGATTCCTCTAACCATCTGTTTTGAGTCATTCTCTCAAGGTGACGATCAGTGTAAGTGAAGTGTAACATTTTTCTTCAATTCAAATTTAAGTGACCATTTCCCCCAAATTATCAGCAATTAAAATATACAATATATTACGCTGTGTTATAAAAATACATATTGACATGTGAAAGTTCATGGTCATAGTTGACATGAATTGAAGCTCTAAAATCCTCTGGAAACATCCACACCGTGAAGGGGACTGTGAAGTGTGGAAATGAGAACAAGAATGTGGGAAAAGCTCATGATGGACACAACAGGAAGAGCAGTGAGGAGGGAGCTGCATGCACTGCTCAGCCTTGTCCTGCAGGTCCATGTGGATGTTACATCATTCACCAGTTAACAGACTTCATCTCAGAGCTACAGAGTGGAGGACACAGGTGTACGGGATGTGCTAACTCCTCCAAGGATTTCCAGACCTAGAGCCTTAGAGCAGAACTACAAATGCCAAGTCAGATGTTCCCATATCACAAGGGAAGAAGAAGAAAAGCAAGAATTCCTAAAGTCACCTTCTGTGTCACAGTGGACTTGTACCAGGCCCTCATAATTACGTGACAGTGACAACAGTCTGCTGGCTGTGAGTTTCAGGAGACAGGAGGTGTGTACACAGTGTATGGGGCTCACACTCACTCCCCAAGACCATCGATGATTACAAAGTGAGGGAAGCATGTGTGAGGGTCTCAGCACACTTGAGACTCGTGAAACCTTCTCAGCTGTCACTCTTTGGTGACAGTCATTTCACTCAGTGCCAGACATGAGATTCTGCCTCATACGCCATCTGTTTATTTTTGTAGCACCGGGAATTGAACTTAGGGCCTCATGAATCTGAGGCAAGCACTCTATCACTGAACTGTGTTTCTGGCCCTATGTTTTGTGCTTGCCTAAGCTGAAGATTTTAGCAATTAGACAAGATTTTTCCAGAGTTTCCCCTCTGGAGTCATCATTTTTTACAATCAAATATAGAGAATTTAATGAAAATATTCTCAAGTTTCAGTACATAAAAATTTCAGCGTATATAAGGGTCTCAGGCCTCACCTGAATGCTTATGAATGATGCTTGTTCCTGCCTCTTTTCCCCTTCCCTTGCCAAGACACTGACAGCTTTAGGAGGGGAATATATTTAGGTGTTTATAACCACCTAATAACCTGGTAACCAGTGAACCTGTGGGGATGTATTAGATAGATCAATAAGGAGAAATCTGATACTCTTAGCAGAATATTCAAACAATGCTTTGTGAACACTGTTGTTTAACTAAGTTCTGAAGCTACCTGTGGCTACCAGGAATTCACAATGGCCCTGTGAAAAGTAACAGATCTGAGGTGAGATGTTTTCTTTAACAGATACTGGCAAAAGTGTGAAGTGACCAGAAGTGAGAAGAGCTTCATGTGTCTGTAGGCAGCACGCAGTGTGCAGCAAACTGGGATCATTTTGCCTGATACAGAATCTGGAACAACATCATAATCATTTACACAGCATAATCATTTACACAGCAAAAATTCTTATAATCATTATTGTATGTATAGAAATAAACCCTATGAGAATTCATACTTGGAGAATATATCTATGTGTGCTAATAAAGCCACATGATCACATAATTGTCAAAATGATATTTTTACTGTGAAATCTATCAGATTTCAGGATTATCTTGGTTGTGTCACAATAAAATATATGGATAGATGTAGGTGGAGGTTTTATTGGGACCACCGGCTCACAAAAAAAAAGAAAAGAAAAAGAAAAAAGGAAAAAGGCTGGAGAGATGACTCAGCTATTAAGAGCTCTTCCAGAGGTCCTGACTTCAATTCCCAGCAACCACATGGTGGCTCACAACCATCTGTAATGAGATCTGGAGCCCTCCTCAGGCAGAACACTGTGTACATAAGAAATAAATAAAAAACAAAATAAAAAAACAATGCACAGAGACTTAATAATAATTATACATTGGCCAATAGCTCAGGCTTGTTACTAGATGGCTCTTACATTTTAAATTAATCCATATTTCTTATCTAATCTCAACACGTGGCAATACCTTTTTTCAATACAGAACATCCATCTTGCTTCTCTCTGCATCTGCTTGTGACTCCTCTGACTCTGCCCTTCTTCTTCCCAGTGTCCTTAGTTTGGTTTTCCTGCCTCACCTTATCCTGCCCAGATATTGGATAGTCAGGTTCTTTATTAAGCAAATCACAATGTAATTTACACAATGTATAGAAGGATTATACCACAGCAGATAAAGAGTGTGTGTTTGTGTGTGAGAAGGAGATTACAGTGGGATATTAAACACACACAATATGATATTAAATATAAATAAATCAAATGGTGAATGAGTGGGGTCTGGAGATATGGCTGGGTGGCTAAGGGTGCTTACTGCTCTTGTGGAGGGCCCATGTTCAGTTCCTACACCTACATCAGGTTGCTGTGGGGTAATCCTTCTGTACACTGTGAATAGGCATTACTCTCATTGGTTAATAAAAAACTGACAGGTTGGTATCCAGGCAGGAAATATAGGCAGGACAGCCAGACACAGAAGACTTTGGCAAGAAGGGCAGAATCAGAAGAGTCACCAGGAGATGCAGAGGGAGCGAGATATGCTGGAGGACAGGTAAAGCCATGTGGCAGCACATAGATGAATAGAAATGGGTTAATTTATGTTGTAAGAGCTAGTTAGCTATTGGCCAAGCATTTATAATTAATATTAAGCCTCCGTGTTGGTTATTTGGAAACTGGCAGGTGGGAAAGAAAAGTCTGCCAACATCTGGTGGTTCAGTACTGCCTGTCACTTCAGCTCCAGAGGATTCAGTGCCCTCATCTGGCCACACCAGGAAGCTGTACACACACACACACACACACACACACACAAATAAATAAATATATATGATTAATGATTATAAGTAATCCTGGGTTTTAGAGTGTGGCAATACAAAAGTCATATTGAGAATTTGAGGATCTCAATAAGAAATAAAGGCAAGCTTTTTTCCCCAGGCAGGGTTTCTCTGTGTATCCCTGGCTGTCCTAAAACTCACTCTTTAGACAAAGCTGGCCTCAAACTCAGAGATCCACCTGCCTCTGCTTCCTAAATGAGGAGATTAAAGGCCTGTGCCACCACTGCCTGGAATAAAGACACGTCTTTAACCAAAAGCTGTTTTGATATTGAACTCAGGTTAATTAAGGGAGTTGGGACATGTAGAAAATAGAACAAAAAATACTATAAATAGCAATAATCTTGAATGAAGCAAAACAGGAAAACAAGACTAATAAAATGTTATTTTATGCATCAATGTGAAAATACGAAACAGAAAGTGGTAATTATGAGGTGGGAGCATTCACTTCACACTAGAAAACACATGTAAAATGGCAAATGCACGTAAAACAGCCCACCAACTGGAAACGCACCTCGCTCCACGTGGGTCAGCACTGTAAAGACTGTACACCTCTGTGGGAAGCCTGAAGACTGACTGAAAACGCGAGGCACCAGCCCACTTTCTTCCTTTCTTTTTTAATACTATTAAATTTTTATTAATCCTCTCCTGTAAAGAAAAATGCCAAAAAGGTCTAAATATATTTTGGAAATCAAAAGGCTATTGAAATAAAAAGGAGCATTGTGACTCAGAGAACCTGTGGAGAATATGTCTGTTTGTAAAATAATCTTTTTAGAAATCTGACAAATGAACTGCAATAGATCTGCATGAGAGTTTAAGAATATTTTGTTGAATTTTTTTCTTGCTTTCACAGATGATTTTCTGAGCTCCATTTGCTTGTTTCTATGAAACAAAGCAAACATTTCAAACATATCTTCTTTTTTATGTAAAACCCAGAGACTCCAGACAAGTTATTTTATGTAATGTACAAAATCATTTTCAAATTGCTGGCATTCTTTCAAGATGCCTACTAGCTTCTATGGTAAAAACAGGTACTATTTTTTTAATATTAAACAGACTTAGTTCTATGTTATAATTTAGACATCCAGTCTCCTAAATTGTAAAGATACAATGATCTAACTTACTAGGTCTTCATGAGCGTTTCTAATACATATACATATATATATATATATATATATATATATATATAATTGTTACACACATATGTACATAGTTTATTAGACAGTAATTTAATCTCATCTATTTCTTTTTCTTTATTCTTCTCTCATGCAATG